CTCGCAGATGCACGAACATTTCGGTCTCTGGCGCGCCCGGCAGCACACACTCGTATCGAAAAGTTTCGGCGGCTGCGCCGTTCCCCGTGCTCACCTTAGACACGGTGGAAAGCTAGGAAATCCGGGGGGTACGCGCGGAGACGCGAGCTCGGGGAAAAGTCCTCGTCGCGGATTCCTCGCTTCTTTTGTTCTCCTTTTCCTTCGCCGTTTTTTACTCCCCGCGTCTTCGCGAGGTCGTTCTTCCCGTCGTCGGGAATTTCTGAAAGACGAGAAGAGAAGGGAACGACCGGAGAAGAAGGAAACCGTGTTACAGCGGCGTCGATCGAGCATTAGAATACGTAATTATCGAGGTACGCGTGACATTACAAGGCCAACGGAGCGTACGTCTACCGATACTTGCAACAACCCATTTTCGTGTTAGCTGCCTGACGTCAGCATCGATCGTGCATCGAATGAAGCACGTTTCGCTAGGGTAGATTCGATCTTCGAAGATTTGGGTCCCGATTGCACAGCCTTGTTTTTCTCCCTGGAATTCCGCGGCTGCGGATAACATCTGGACGATCCTCTTCCCTTTCCTTTTCCTTGTTCCACCGTGTCCCCCGGTGACACCGAGATAAACGTAGTCGCGAATTCGACAGGTAGGAAACGTGGTCGTTCCGGCGTCGCGAAGGTATCGGAAATTAATCGGACAGGTGGGCAAAGTTAGAGGCAAGGTAATAGGCGGCTATGCTCATTGACCTTTCGCCGAAAGATAAGAATCTATGGACACGTTCGGAGGAGCTCGATCGACTCGGTTAGGTAGGTAGCTGGTGTGGTAGTAGGCCTGTCCTCGAATCGGGCGCATCAGGTTAGGAATAAACGTGTCAAACGCGTCGCGGTCGATCGGCAAACCGTAACGCGTGGAGAATTGAATGTTTGCGATGGTAGTGTCAGCGAAACTAAAATACGTTATCGAAACACCGCCGGCGCGATATCCGCGCCCGTTATCAAAGTTTCTCGCGATTGTGACAATGCGAAACGATAAAACGCTGCTGGCGGATGCATGCTCCGATTCGAGACCGTTTCATGCCCGTATTACATCGATCTTTTTCCACGGAGTTTACGCGCCCAGCACACGAAGGGGACACGCTATGTATTAACGACAAAAGTTATCGCGACCCGACGATTTCTCTTCCTCTCTTCGCAGGATCGTTCGCCGCGCGTCCTGCCACGTCGAAAGCGCGACGTCGGTGATTGTTCGGCTATGAAAACGGGGGAAAAAAGGCGCAGATAAAAAGGAAGACAATGAGAGAGACGTCTTTTCTCTCTTATTTTATCTCCGGCGACAATGCAACACACCGGGGCCATAAAGTTGCTCGCAGCTTAGTCTCTCGGTCACCGACGACCGGCGTGTTTCGCGCAGCGTTTCGCCGAGCGAAAATCACCGGTCGAAATTTCGACGCCGCGACGCCCGAAACGATCGATCGTTTCGAACGTCGTTCGCGCCACGCCGCGCCACGCCACGCCACGCCACGCCACTCCACTCCACGCTACGCCACACCGAGCTGCGCCGCGCCGCAAGAAAGGCAACGCGGTTCGCGTGGTAAATGTTAAAGTTACCATTCGAAGCACGCCGTTTTGAAAGTCAAACGAGCACGCTCGAAAGTTCGTTGAACCCTGTTCCACGCTAAACCCGTTTTCACGACCGCGTTGCGAGGGATTTAGTAACGAATATCTCTCGCTTAATGGTTCTTATATCACTGATTACACCCGTGTAGACCGCTTTTGCGTTGGTAATCGAAGTTCGGGCTTTTCGCCAATTCCACCGCGCTGGATTGTAATTCTCTGGCACTGGAGAGAGACCGGTCGCTCCTCTTGCCAAACCTCGTCTTTTCCACGCTCGCGATCCCCTTGCAAACTTGATAAGCAACGAATCTTTCTCCTCGGAAGGCCACTCGCCGCGCGCCTTCTTCACCCGTGTCAAAGTAACCGATCCCACGCAACTCGTCCTGTACTTCTATAAAACTGATGCAATCGGATCCAGACCCGATTTATGCCGCATCGTTTGCACGATCGAATGCCACGTATTCGATTAGCCCCGAGTACCGGACGAAAGATCGCGGCAGCAGTGGGTCGGTCGTACGAGCGGAAAACTCGAATGCCACCGGCCATTAAGGACGGATAATGCCCGGAGGGTTTTCGAAAAATCTGGCAACGATTGTCACGGTCGACTCGTGCCAGATTCTCTCTTCAGCGTGTGGATACTCGAGCGTGTAGAGAGCGCAGGAATCAATAGGCTGGTATTGTAGCACGGATTTGTAAGCCGCCGGCGGAAACCTTACGTATTCAACAGTGAGTCACACTTCCAGGAACGTATCCCAGCCCTCTTCTCTCACCTACGACAATGTTCCCGGGCATTGTTTCCCACCCTTGCCAAAATCAAACGGTCCCCCGGTTCTGTGTCGAGCTTCAACCCCATTTTTTTCACCCCTTTTCAAACGCAATCACCGTGATTTCCATTTAGGCGTTCGTTTTCACCTCTTCCCGTTCGAGGGCACTAATGACTTCTGCGGTAATGGCTCCTGCTGCAACTTCCATTCAAAACTGTGCCGTGAATCGAGTAGCCTCTCAACCGTTCTTTTCCACGCTTTCCTACGGTGCAGCACCCACCACCGCACAACCGCCATACCACAGCCATCGCGTCGCGACACCGCGTGTCCTCTCCTCCTCGTCCAGCCTCCGCTACGCTTCCTCTCGCCATCCCTTTTCGACCCCTCGCAACCCCTCCACCGCGAAGCTTATTAATAAACCTGCTGAAAAGTTGAAAAGTCCACGTGTTAAGTAATTGAAACTTAATCGCTGGATGAGATCGTAAGATAGAGCAGGCCAGGGTTTCGAGTGCCGCTCGACACGCCTCGAAGTTATATCGCTCGGCGAGGCATGGGTCAGGCTGCCGATAAGATAGCACCGTGTTATTAAACATTTCTCAGTCGTAATAAATATCGGACGCGTTATCGACTACCCATCGTTGACCGAGTCTAACGCGGTGTACCGTTTCTTAGGAGACCTGGGATTAAGGGCGATGACGACACGAGTCTTCCTCGAATGGGATCGTAACTCGAGGTGACTCTCGAGGCATAGCGAACTAGTCGCTCGATTTTTCCACTCTTCCCACTTTCCATGGTTACTCTCCTGTTGTACGCTCACGGGAACTGGGTCAAAGTTGATCGAAACTAGGTCTCTCGTGGATTTTCAAATTTTTCGCGTCAGAAAGATTTTCTGCATTGCGTATCGTCTATGCAGCTTCGACTGCCGTTCATTCGCGATCGGTGATCGGAGAGAGAGAGAGAGTCAAAGACTCGTTGTCTACGGGTAGACAAAGCCCGTTTCCGCGAGGATCTCGTTGCATGGCTGCGAGACGAGGGTTTGCAGAATTCCACGGGGACTGGAACGATATCGAGAACAGGCCGTATACGGAGATGGGGAAAGACACGTCCCCAAGGTTCGCGCATGGAACACAATCACCGAACGTAACCGTGGCCTTGGCTGAAGCTCAGCCGCTTCCGGAAGAGGTTAATACCCGAAACGCATCGCTGACTCGGAGGGCTAGAGCGTGTCCCGAATGGTTCAAGTTTCTACGCTCTCGCGGAGCAACAACCTACTCGGAACAATGCCTATTTATTTAGACACAGATCGTTGTGTTCGTTAAGGGACCCGGAGGGATAATTTTTATGGTCAAAGTTAACGACGGGACGGGAAAAAAAAGTCGTAGGTGGTCCCCTGCCGTAACGAGTGGAGCGTAATTGCTCGGCAAAAGGCCCGAGCATTCTTCCCGGCTAAATGAAACGTTCACGCCGAACGCTGTTCCTTACGCGCGTAATTTCTTTCCCAATCCCTGTAATTAACGCCGACGCAACGTTAACGCGATGTTAACGCGATGTTAACGCGATGTTAACGCGATGTTAATGCGATTCCGATCGAACCCCTAACTCAGGCGCCCAGCCGGCTTTTCCCGCGTAAATCTCGCTCGTCGAGACTCTAATCTTCCAGCTGTCAAGGCCGCGTAATACGGGGATTCGAGACGGCGATAAAAAGAGCATGGGGATCGGAGCAGACGCGATTCTCTGGTCCGACGAGCATCCCGCCACGGTCAAACCGTACCGCGTTTGTCGGTCAATTAGAGTCCAGAGCGAGTACCGGTAACATAGAGGCGAACGCTTGTCGGTGAACGTCCGCAGGGGGTCGTCGACCCAAGCCAGCCAGGCCTTAGTCGTCTACGGCTTTAACGTTGCTTTTACACCGCTATACGCGAACGTGGACAAGCCCGCCTCTCCCGGCTTCTCCTCTCCCATCATCCGACCTTGATCCGAAACTTTAAACCTGGCCCGGCTCGGTTCTCACCCGGTAACAGGATGTCGTCATCGAGCCTCGCAGCACCGATTACGTTACCACCGTGTGCGCAGATTTGCGCGAGCAACGATTCAATCGGTCGGCTCGCTACCGCCGCTCTTTCCACGTTTTAATCTCTGTCCGAGCGATTGGAGATTTGCCCAGAGTTCCTCGGTGAACGTTTTCGCCCAGCATTGTCGAATAAATTAAGACGATGGGGACAGGCTGACGTCATTTGTAATGCCTTGCACGTTCGCCACGCACCGACGAAATTTCGCGATCGCGCGTATATTCGCCGACCTGTCTTCGCTCGATTGCCCCATGATCGCCCGACGACGTCTCCCGGCCAGAGCCCGCGGAGACAGACCACGCTCTCGATCCACAGCTGTGTATCTCTCCCCGTTTCGTTGATAATTAAAGCACACACCGGCCATACGGAACCTCGTAAAAGGTAATAGCACGTAGAGACGCGAAATTACCGCCGATTACAACGAGCCTCTCGGCCGTGAACCTTCGTGTACGTCTTAAACAGAGCCTAGTGAAATCATTACCAACGACCACACGCACGCAATCGCGGAAGAAACGCGTGGAAAATTATGCTTGACGAACACGCGGGTTCCCTTCTGTTGCAGCAACTGTTCCGCAGTCAGCCTCAAGGAGCCACGCCGCAGCAACTGCAGCTGCTGCAGCAACAGCAACAACAACAGCAACAGCAGTACCTGGCCGCCTCGCAGGCTCAGCAGCAACAGCAACAGCAACAACAACAGAACTTTCCCACGGCACCGTATACCGTGATCAGCGGACAGGAACCCTATGTCGGGGCATTGATAGCCGGTGCACCACCGCCAGTGGTGCCACAGTATTATGGAGTCGCGCCATGGGTTTATCCAGCCGGATTGCTGCCGCAGGCACCTCCTCAAGCTGCCGCTCCACCGCCACCGAGGCGACCGCTAACACCATCCTCGGCCGCAGCCGCGGCAGCTGCCGCTCAAGACACTGCAAATAATTTGGCCCAGACCGTAAGCAAAGCTAATTAGTCCGTTTTCCGATGCGATCGCGTGGATCGCGCCTCTGCCTTTAGAAATAAATCCTATTGTCACCGCGCCGCGCGCGCGGTCTCATCCGTTTCCCGGTTATATACGATTTACGTCGCGCGATGTCTCGTGTCGTCGTGGTCAGCCCGCCGAACGTTTCTCGATTAAGATTGGCCGTGGAGATTAAATATAAACTTCGAGCAGCAATTTGCCAGTTTGCATAACGAGTAGCAATTTGCTACGTTTCTGTGTCAAACACAGAAGCAGATCTTGACAATTTAATCGCGCACCGTGGCGAACGCTTTCCAACACTCCTCGCTCCTTCGTGTGCTGCACCGACCTGCGGCACGTTCGTCTTTATTCCTTCTTTCTTTCCCGCAGGTTCAAGGCCAGTATCAGGTAATACCGGCGTATTACGATCAAAATGGATCCATCGTGATGGGCGGGGTGCGCGGCCTGAGCTCCGCTGCAACCCCCATGAGATTAGTCAGTCCAGCGCCTGTTTTGGTAAACAGAGCCCCGTCGCAACCACCACCGGGACCACCGGCTCCACCACCGCCGAGTCTATACTCTCAGCCGACTCCTACGTCACACAGTAACGCAACACCCGGAGAGTGTTTGGGTAAGAAACGCGCTGCAGTCGTAGAGATTGCGATTGGATATCCGGACTGCTCGTCGGCGTTGTAGATATGTGTTCTTTTTCTTTTTTTTTTTTTTTTTTTTTTTTTTTTTCTTTTTTTTTTTTTTTTTTTTTTCCTTTTTTTTTTTTTTTCTTTTTCTCCGACGTATTGATTCTTTCCTACGTGATACGACGATTCTATATACATATTATATATATACATATGCATGGCACAATGTTAAACATCGATGAATTTTTTTGAGAGCATACAGATATACGTATACGTATCTATACATATATAAATATATAAATATACCGATACATCATATATATATATATTAACGTGGAATAACGTCTCTGTTGTCTGTACATACGTGTATACACGCCACGTATTAACCTCGTGACTAAAAAATTGTTAGTACGAATTCGTTGTCGATAGCGGAAGCGTGCGTTTGTATGTGTTGGAACGGTTTTACCGCTAGGCTTATAGACGGTATGAGGTCGGTCAGGTACGGCAAATTAATTGATAACTAAGAGCGTGTGTGGGTTGCGGGCTTTTGGTGCAGGTCTGGCGGCGTGCAGTGCAGCAGCAGTGGTTGCACAGGCTCAAGCAGTCGCGGTGCAGCAGGCACAACAGCAAGGATCAGGACTAGCCGCAGGTTTAGCGGCACTAGGATACGGCGGATCCCCTCTGGGGGCACTGGGCTCGCCCGCTCAGCTTCAGAGCACAGGTACACATTCCTAGCCAACGAACAAGAGAATCTTTTGAAACGGCTGTTTCAGTTTCAGGCGTCGGCGGTGTCCTCGATTCTCTCCTTTGTACATAACGATCGCATATGTTGCATGCTTTTGCGAGAACCTATCGTTTGTCTTTACACACTTGCTATTTTAAACGTATCTTTCCAGCCACGTCTGTATATCTTAAACTCACGGATCGGTAATCGTGCGCTTGTATTCCTCCACCGAGTCCGACTTTTCACCATCCTCCGTCTCTTCTTCTCTGTTCCCAGGTTTAGGCCTTGGCGCTTCGTCAACTGCGCGAAGAGATTCGTTCGATAGAAATACGTCTGCTTTCAGTCCTAGTTTAGAATACAGCCGCGCGAAGTGGCCCCAGAGTTACGGAGCACTAGGTACGAATTATTCGCTGCTGCGTGATCTTGCGCGTTAAGCATGTTCGTCTACAGGTTGCTCGATCTTGTTTACAGGCACGGTAACGGCATCGCCAAGCCCATTAGGATTATCCTTAACACCGCCACCAACTTTGGGAGGATCTTTAGGTGGACTCGTCGGTGGAGCCAGTCGAGTGTCAGCTGCCCCCGGCGCTGAGGCCAAGTTCCGAGCTAGCGCGGTACCAGCTTTGACGGCCAACGGGGTTTTCGGCTCCAGTAGCTCTCTTTTCCCGAACTTGGTGGGCAAACCTGGCCGCGGTGGCACGACTAGCATCGGGGATAAAAATGCCGGTGGACGATCACGCTTGCTGGAAGACTTCAGGAATAACCGGTACGTGCTTTCCGAGTTATCATTCGAGGACACGCGTATCACGTTGCCTCGTAGTCAGCTTATGTTACGACCGATTCTCATATGCTTCAGATTCCCGAGTCTTCAACTACGCGATCTGGCCAATCACATAGTCGAATTCAGTCAGGATCAGCATGGTTCCCGTTTTATTCAGCAGAAATTAGAACGTGCCTCTGCCAGCGAAAAGCAGCTTGTGTTCCAGGAGATCCTTAATTCTGCTTACTCACTGATGACCGATGTTTTTGGGAATTATGTTATTCAGAAATTCTTCGAATTTGGCACGCCCGAACAGAAATCTACCCTTGCCCAAAAGGTGATTACGGAGATAAGATGTATACCTAACGCGTTCATTAACAATTATTCGAGATGATGATTTGCTTTGCGTGTCAACTGACTTTTTCACTGACATGAGAATGACAGCATCTGAACAGTCAGAGTAGAAGGATTGCGAACGTTCTTTCCAAGTTTACTTGTTTTTTACCAATTCTTTTTTTATTTTTTTTTTTTTTTTTTTTTTTTTTCATCTTCTTTAATTAGGTTCGGGGACACGTGTTGCCCTTGGCACTGCAGATGTACGGGTGTAGAGTGATTCAGAAGGCTCTGGAATCGATCGGACCAGAACAGCAGCAAGAGATAGTCCGGGAACTGGACGGACACGTTTTGAAATGCGTGAAAGATCAAAATGGAAATCACGTTGTGCAGAAATGCATCGAGTGCGTCGAGCCACGAGCACTACAGTTTGTAATCGGAGCCTTCGCCGGGCAGGTTTATTCCTTGAGTACTCATCCCTACGGTTGTAGAGTGATACAACGTATTCTCGAGCACTGCACTCCTGAACAAACTCAGGGAATCTTGCAAGAGTTACACGCTGCTACCGATCAACTCATTCAAGATCAATATGGCAATTACGTGATCCAGCATGTGCTTGGTAAGTACTATTTACTTTACGTACTTTCCGCTTCCTCCGCGACAATGATTCATCGATACGTGTATCTTTCAAAGAACATGGAAAACCGGAAGATAAGGCCCAGTTGATCAGCAGTGTTAGGGGTAAAGTACTTACTCTCTCGCAACATAAATTTGCCAGCAACGTTGTTGAAAAATGTGTAACCCATGCTACGAGACAAGAGCGTGCTGTACTCATTGAAGAAGTATGCGGATTTAACGACAAGTAAGTTCCGCCATAGATATTTTTCTCTCTGTTCCCTTTTGTCCTTGCATTATTATTCCAATGTTTGCCATTAATTATGACATTTTTTTTAATACCTTTTACGAAATAGCGCATTGAACGTCATGATGAAGGATCAGTATGCTAACTACGTGGTTCAGAAAATGATCGATGTAGCAGAACCGGCACAACGTAAAGTATTGATGCACAAGATCCGCCCACATTTAGGTAGCTTGCGCAAGTTCACCTACGGCAAGCACATCATTGTCAAGCTAGAGAAATTTCTCATGAAAACTGCATCCGCGATAGGGGTGACAACACCTGCCGGTGCTTCGAGTGGTGGCGGTGATCTGGGTCCTATTGGACCGCCTGCTTCTGCTGCTGGTCCAGTATCTACACCAGCTCAGCAGCCAACGCAGGTTTTATAAGCGTACGGTTTCGGAAAGTAACAACTTGAAGATCTTCGTACGTTCAAGATAACACGTACCAAGACCTACGTAATATTTATGCAACGTATCTAGCGCCATTAAATTTAATGGGCGAGGAAAAAAAAAAAGAAAGGATGCATTTCGGTGTGCCGTCTATCTCGTTGCCCATTCTTGATTCTATAAATTCGAAAGAAAGAAAGGAAAAAAAAAAATGGAAAGAAAGAAAGAAAGATGAACGTATTCGTGTAAGACGAGAAAAGAACTACCGAGATGATTTTTCTTATTTTTGCAAAACCGTAAAGAAATAAATGGGGTAACTAACAATTTGTACAGAATGGCAAGGATGGACAACGCGAAATCACGGTGCAAGGAAAAGGAAAAAGAAAAAAGAAAAGAAAAGAAAAAAAAAAAAAAAAAAAAAAAAAAAAAAAAAAAAAAAAAAAAAAATTGGAGATCAAATGAGTGTCAGGAAAAATCAACTTCTAGAATAACGTTAGAGGTGCAGTGCATTTTTTCTATTAGTAATTTAACGTGCTGCCGAATAATATATTCATAGCGATTTACATTGAAATGTTGCGAAAGTTGCACCAATAAACGTTTCGAGAACCGAGTTTCTTCGCAACGGCTGGACAAGCTTCGAGCAATCGTGTAAAAGAAACTATAGCGATGAGATGGCTGATTGTCTTTTAAATGCCACACGATTAATCAATGAGTTTAGAGCAGTTCCAACGGCACGATAGTTCCAACAATTTATAAGAAACTTTCCCCTCATTTTGGGTAAAATCGTTATTTAACATGTTATCCTTTTCAAACTCAGCACTCTTTTGAAGGAGCATAGCTCTGTCCTCTGGCAAACACTTAAACACATAACGAAAAAACGGAAAACTATGAAAAAACAGGACGAGAAGAAAGTTGGGCGAGTCAGTGCGGCTCGTCGTGATTAAAACTCGGTAATGACAGGATAAAATTCGAAGAAGAGAAAATTGTGTTTAGACAGCTAGGATAGATCTTAGAGCTGCATGCATTTATATCGAGCTGTAACGAGAGTGCGATGGCTGTAAACACCATGCACGAGACGTTTTGATCGCAAGTGTACCGTACACTATCTTTGCACGCTGAAAGTAGTATTATCTTTTCGTGCGGTATGCGTCCGATCAACGAATCGATATCGGTTCAGATTCGATAGAGGTTAGGAGCTACAGATATGTTGATTAAATCTAGCATAGCGTTTGACATGGGAATGAAGCTGAGTACCCCTGACCTGACCGCTGATCTGCCCCTTGATTGCTTCAAATTGTTCGTAAACGGGAAAAAAAGAAAGAAAGAAAAAAAAAAAAACGAAAGAAAGAAGGAAAGGAAAATCGATTTTATTACTCGTTTTACCTTTATAGAAATTTCGAATATGAATCAGTATATTTATGTATATGTGTGTATTTTTTTTTTTTTTTTTCTCGAAGACAGAATTTAGCAGGAGATGAAAATGAATGAAACAAAAAGACAGAAACAAAACATTGAGGAGAGACATCAAGTCGTCAGCACGGTTCTCCTTTGTTCATTTTTACGTTTGTCGCTTTCGAGCGCGAAGCATTTTTTTTCTACTCTCTTACATCCTTTTTTCATCCCCTTTCTCCCAATCCTTATCCCATCGCCCTCGTTCTCCTTCCTCCCATTCCTGAGTATCCTCAAATTTTGTAAATTGTGATATAAATAAATAACAAATGTGTATAGGTACGACGTGACAACCCTAACGTGAGGAACCGTAAATTCAATGAATATTTTATTTTTCACGGGAATTCTCTCCTTTTTAACGGACTTTGTGAATATCGTGTATTATAATAATTACTAATTATATTAAATTTAAATATGATTTACGTTCTAATGCTGCTGACCCTCGATCAACAACATACGTTAATATTTCCCTTTCTCCTACCGTTTTAAAAATGGTTTCTTACCATCACCTCGTCAACCCTCCTCTCCATATACATACAGGCACACACACATTCACACATACTTTCCAATTGTAAAATACGAAGATTTTTGACAAAGGAGACGCTCTAGAGGAAAGAAATCGTTTATGTTCGGATTCATCCAAAACTCCCTACCCCATACCCACACCCACCCCCCTTCTAATCCAACACCCAATGTCCCTTCCCTACCCCACCCCCCCTTCTATTTTTTAAATAATCGCAGCCATCGCGATTGTCGCGATGATTTTTGAACGTAACTGAGACCCATTGTACATTGTATAAATGATAACGCGTTCTTTAAAAGAAGAAAAACGTCAGGAAATTAATGTTCCCAATGCGTGTGTATCTATATCTTTTCGCGTCATTCGTTCCCGACCCTTTTACATGTTCACATATTAGGAAACATATTGTACACACCAAGCATTTCGATTGTATTATATATACTGATCATACAAGACGGTTGGAAAGAGCACCTCTCAGCTGTTTTCAGTAGCATCGTACTTGTTCCTTTTTTTTTTTATCCAAGTTTTGCATCAAACGAAAAGGCACATGCGCAGCTATGTTTTCTCGTATCTTTTTCTTCGCCCCCTGCCCCCTCGGTGGTCCTGGGAACCACAGCGTGCATCAACGGTTAACATTGTTCTTCGTGCATGCAGCACGCGTTTTGTAACATTTTATACGTTTCTAAGATTTTGTAAACTCGACGAAACTCTGTGCTCTGTGTTTGCTCGCGAACGTCGGGGTTTCGTCGGTGTGTTTTTTTTTTTCAAAAGTATGTTTCTTTTGTACAATCTCTCGTACACTTTTAATATCCCCCCTTCGGGCGATGATCACGCATTCTCCGTACACGGGATTTTTATTCGTTCAGGACGCATTCCTATAGGAGTAAAAATCGTAGTCTACGAGAAGAAATTCGCTAGAGCTCGGTCCTGAGTGTATCTTTCTTTTTCTCCTCTTTTCCTCCCTCGTTTTGCTTCACTTCTTCGCGAGGAATTTCAAGAACGGGACAGCATTTCGAAACAGCGCGGAACGTTTCATCTAAATCGCTTCACGAGTCGTGTGTATATAATTGTTCTTCATCGAGAGGTTCTCACGACGGTTGTACAAAAAAAAGAGTCTCGCTAAGTTCTCAAATTCGACGTTCGTATGCGCGACACATTTCCCACACACATGCACACATATTTGTATACATCCGAAAAGAAGCTCGTTGCGTGTTGCATTCTCGTAACCGAATAGGTAATTAAAATAAGATCGAGTTGTATCTCAACTGTGTACAATGTATAATATTTTGTTAACTTAGATGTTAAATGTGTAGAATTCTAAACAAAGGAAAAAAGAAAGAGAGGAACAAGAAAAGAAAAGAAAGAAGGGACAGCCGCAAGCAACTCGAGGTCCGTCGCGATTTTGTACAAAAAAAAGGGGAAATAAACGAATAAAGGGAAAACAATGGGGGGGAAAAAAGGAAACGAAAAGAAAAGAAAAGAATAAGAGCAAAAAAAAAAAGAAAGAAGAGGAAGAACATAGCCGCTTTCTTTGTAAGATATTGTAAATAACGATTTATTAACGAAATTGACAAATTCTTAGGTACCCTTTCTCTCTTTCTCTTTCTTCTTCGCTGGAGGATTATACTTATACCGTTAGTAGTGACGCGACTGGTTCAAGAATAGGGAGAAAAAGATTAGAAAATGTTGAGAAGGGAAGTGCGTGAGACGCAGTACTTATCGGATTTTAAGCGATGTTATCTTTTATCTTGTTTGCTTTGCTCGATCCTTCCGGGGTCCCCTGAGTAATTCGATCGATCTGTAAAACTGGTACTCGTGGAGAAAGGATGATAACGTAGGCAGGCTCTACCACCCCCACCCCCCTCTCCCCGTTCCCCTCGCCCGGATTCGATCTTTTCGGAAATCGCTGAGAGGAGGCTGCTCGTTTTTGAGCCGCGAATAGGGAAAAAGAGAAAATAAAACGGAGAAACTATCGAGAACAAAAACGAAAAAAAAAAAAAAAGAAAAAGGGAAAACAAATGGAATATGAAACAGTGTCACATGTACGATATAAACGTAAACGGAAAGAAAAACTCAACATATACAGGACAGAGACATTCCAACCGCCACTTTTCACCTTCAGCCGACAGGATACTTTGCCGTTTTTTGAAACGCGGGTTACATAAATGCGACGTTAATATGTTATATTAATATTTAATAAGGGATGACGATAGTTCCTTCATCCGTGTAAATCGCGCGCATCATCTGTAAATTAAACGTCGGAATTCAACATCTCATTTGTTTATAATTTCAGCCTTTATATACTTTCTTTATTCATATATTTATTAATATTATCATTATTATTATTATTATTATTATTATTATTATTATTATTATTATTATTATTGCTATAATTATCAATATTGTTTGATTAACGACCTTCCCTCTACTGATTATTATTGCTATTACTAATAATTGCTATATACACACTTTTATACGCGTAAACGTATATATTCGTGCACATGCGCATGTGTGTTCATATATACGTTTATACGTATAAAAACGCGAGTATCACAATTTCACGTATATAACGCTTTATAAATATGGTACATAATAGTACGGACACATTTTTTTTTTCTTTTCTATCTTTTTTTTTCTTTTTTTTTTTCTTTTTTTTTGTATTCCTTTTTAACGCTCCGGCTGTCTTGATTATTTGTCCTTTTTAAACAAGAAAGAAAAAAAAGATGCGATTCCTTACTTTCATTGAACGAAGAAATATAGTTTAGTGCGATCGTTTAGCGATAGGTTGACCACCTTATTGCTGTCGTGTTATATATATATATACATCTCTACTTAAGCTTCTGAGGAATGGATAAAAAATTCGTAAACGACTTTTGATTATAAATAGTGTAAATTTTTTATATAGCGCGAGAATGATGGAATAATTATTGGTTGCGCGACTTCTGCGACGTGCGCGTGCGCCATGTATAAAACAAAAGGGAAAAAAGATAAAAAGAAGGTTTAAAAAAAAAAAAAGAGAAAAAGCGGAAAAAGATGGAAAATACTGGAATTCACACGCTCATGGTACACATATAATACATTTACACACACGGTCTTTCGATCTTTTTTTGTCTTGAACTTTGTATTCTTTCGCCGTTCGTTCATTTTCCTGCATTACGGATCGTGCGATCTCAGATCCGTCTGCGAAATTTGTCTTAGCTATAGCGAATCGTACTGTGTACATCCTGTTCCTTGAGAGCGTGTACTCTTTGTAAAATATGTAAAAGTGCGATACATTATTCAGTATTTCTGTACACACGGTTTGGTATGTCTTTTTGTAAATTTCTGTGCGATTATACGATTCGTCGTGGAGCAATGGAAAAATTTTGTTAATAAAGGATCCGAATCGCGGGATTTGTAACGCAAACAGTATCGAACTTATTCTTGCCTGTAAAACGAAGAAAAGTACAAAGTACAACCAGAGAGAGAGAGAGAGAGAGAGAGAGAGAGAGCGAGAGAGCGAGAACGGGGGACGATCAACCAGCTCGATCGTTCCTCTGGAAGGAAAAGGCGTGTAAAAAATTATTCCAAATTCGGCAAAAAAATTCGGACGTCGAAACCCGTCGAAATTCGCCGCTGCACAATTCGTATCCACGAAGTTTCGCGCACGCCGTGCATATTATCAAAGGGGCATCTTCGTATCGTGATATCCCTGTATAGGACGAATCAGATGCGACAGTGTCCGACAAGCAAGCAAAGCATCCATCCCCCCCGGTTCGATCGAAATCTGGTAATTAAACGGTGCCCGAGCCAAAATTTTCTTCCTCGCAGTTGCAATCGTTCGCCAATCGTGTATGGGACAAGTTCGACATCCGTTTATCGATCACTCGGTATTTCTCACGCGGATATCTCGACCGTTTTATAACACATCGCTGCCCCGATACGGAACAAGAAACAAACATGGCGCTCGATTCGGACTTATACAGAGATATCGTGCAAGTAATATAACAGCGTTCCCACGTTGCGTTACGTATATCCCTTTGCGCTCCCTTTAAGCCTTTAATATTTGTACTTTAGATACAATCACCTCTTTCTCTTTCGCCCCTTCTGTACCCGGACACACGCCACCCCTTCTTGAGGGTTTCTTGATCAACATCTTGACAGAGAAACGAGAAACAAACAGAGAAACGTTGAGGAAACGTGAAAATCAAGAAAGGGTTCCCGGTGGGAACGCATACGATTCGAAAGAGGAAAACAATTAAGCAACCCTTTATAAAATTGATTATACATATATATACATATAAATATATATATATATATCTGTATATGTATACCTAAAACCTTTAAAAACTATCGGTATATGATATATATGTAATAAGTACTATTTAAATATTGTAACAATTGTATATGATTTTAATACTACATGCTAATTGTATTATATATATATGAAAGATCTGCGACCTCCCACTTGTAGAACACACTCGATCGTTACACACACATGGACAAAAACCCACGTACACGCGCGTGCACGCGGATGTATCCTGCATACGTGCATACACATACACGCACACACACACGCGCAATCGCGTCACCGATGTATTCGTACGCGAGTACTGAACGAAGACGAGACAGAACATCGTTATCCTTCTTCGTCGAATGCGAATTTACACCAACACACCCACGCACACGTACTACACGCGTTGTCGCGGGGCACGGGTTGAAAACTCGCGCCTCTCCTCATGTTTCATCACGTTCGCACCCACCGGTTTCAACTGCCATGGCGCTATATTCGAGCAAGCAGTTAATCGAATACAAACGGAAAACGAGAAATAGAAAATTGATTCGCGACATCCTTGGTTCACGCCGTTCGCGCGCGCGCGCGCTGCTCTGGGTGCCGCAGGGTGCCGCGGGGTGCGAGCTTGCGGGCGGGCGTGAACCGAGGAAGGACGAAGAGGACGTAGAGCAACATCCACGGGAATGGTGCGCCCTGATATTAAGACTGATGTACAGTAGCGCGCTATTCTCACCGCAGAGATATCGTCATTTTCTCTTCGTTACGTCATACCACAAGGACACGCGTACACACTCCTCGACACGGTTACACGAAGACAACCACGGATTCGCAGGGCTAATTGAACATATATATATAAATATATATATATATCGTATATATTTGTCAGATATATGTCATATATGTATGCGTACACTCGTTTGCCACGCCACTGGCTCTTACACTTGCACGCGTCGACTCGTGTCATTCGTGATCTTTCGTTCGATATTTAATCGCGTGCGTGTACATTGTTGCGAACTAAGGATCGTTCGTTTCGGCGAGTTCGGGGGAAAATGGAAAAGGAAAAAACGTGTCATCGGCTAAATCGTAAGCTGTTTGTAATATATACGAAGCGTGTACAAGCTGTAATTGTAAATTGTTTGACGTGTTGCGTTGCTCGATTCGCTTGGAAAGGAGGGGCGTGAAATTTTGTGATACACGGATGTAACTTTTGACGAAAGCTCTCTTCTTGTCTTCTATAGCTTCTCTTCTCGGCATTATCGTTTCTCGCGATGGCGTCCGTTCGTTCGTCGCGAACGGCTAGAATAAAAGGGAAAACGGAAAAAACGGAAAAACGGAAATGGGGAAAAAAATGGAACAAAAATTGTCCGATACTCGCGCGAGCAATGTACGAGCCGGTGATGCTTTTGGGACACACGGTAGATGCAGAGGGATATAAAGAGCAAGAAATGTATTCCATATTAGCGGATAATTAGATAAGTGGGACGGACAGGCATACTGATTAAAACAAAAAAATTGCATAACTTGTATATTAGTGTATAGAACGTAGAAACGATGAAATAGCCACGAAAAGAATCATTTTCGACGATGTTTTTTACAAGCAGGCAGAACAGTGCGAGTAGATTAAAGAGACAAACGGGAAAAAAAAAAATTATAAAAAATACGTCATTGTACCATTTAAGTGAAAATTAAAAGAGGAAAAAAATTAACGAGAGAGAGAGAGAGAGAGAGAGAGAGAGCATGTCGAAAAAAAGAAAAAAAAAATAACAGTTTATAAAAAATGCACTAGCGACGAAAAAAAAAAGAGCCACTACGAACCGCCAGCTCGAAAGAGAAACACATTTTCGAAAAGAAGTGAAAAAAATAGAAAAATAAGTAAAGATACGCACCCGATCCTCGGTGAACAAAATGAAAAACAAAGAGCGTAGATTTTTTTAAATAGTCACGATAAACAAAGCCGACATACCGGAATTTTTGGAAAAGCAAAAGAAAAAGAGAAAAAAAGAATCCACGAGATATAGTACGCGAGAAACGACGCACGCGAAATCACTTTTTACAAGCACGTGAAAGCCATAAGACGAACGGTTTCTTGCTGATAAGTTTCGTGCTTGCCTCGATTAATTCGTTTCTTTCTTGTTTAAACAACGTATGTACCGTGTTCCTTCAATGAATTCTCGCGTTCCTGTGTTTTTCTGTTCGTTCTTTAATTCGGACACACGAATTCTTTTCGACTCGTGGTGGTAGCGGTTCCTTCAGATTGCCCAGGTCCAAAGAGTTCTGTTTTGCGGCTTTACGTTAAACGTTCTCTCGAAGCAACAATATGCAAAGCGTTTCCGCCGATATATATGTATTGTAAAACTATTTCCAGGAACGATACACATCGTTACGGTATTATTATATACTAATTAGCGTCTTTGTCGATTGTATTTCATATTTTCTAGAACGTTAAATAAAAAGGATTTTCGAATCTGAATATAATGTGAAAGGAGGATGTCGTGATAACTTATTACAATAAAACGAATAAAAGAGAAAAGAGAAGAAGAAGAAAAAAAAAGAATTAATTAAACGAAGAAGAATTCCACGTTCTCCTCTTCATTCGCGCTCTTTTAGATTGTCACCGAGTGCAAGCTTGACTCTTTGGATCCAGTGCATTTCCGGTTGCGCTCCGATTCGAACGATTAACGCCATCTTCGCATTTGTACAACTGCACGTGCTCTCCTTTGAAAAATTATCGCACGAAATAAAAGTTACGAGCGATCGATTAATTAGTCCAGCTAAATATTCTTCGGCATATTTTTTTAAATGGTATTTCTTCGTACTGTAAACCTTATAACTGGTAGACGCAATTAGTTCATTACTATAATAATTATATGTATGCTTTCTGTTGCTTGAGTTTTGCCTTTTTTCCTTTATACATATATATATATATATATACATATTTTTTTTTTCTCTTTTTGTATACAAGGAATACCTACCTTAGATCTTATTTATTATCATCTCCCACACCGATGATCCGAGACAATTTACGCGTAGGGCGATCTACGTTCCTGCTTTCTTCGATCGTGTGTTCGTTTCCTTAAAGTTTCCATTGATAAATCCGCTAATAAATCGAAGGATTCGTTGAATTTCGAAAATTTGTCGAGGATAAAATTCCAAAGCAACCATTCGAAAACGTGGAACGTGAAATTAAAACGTAGGTAGCCGTACTGGTAGTTTGTCTTGATTATTAGCATTTTACTCATTAGTAGGCATACCTGATGCATCGGGTATACACGACACCTTTACACACTTACACACTCGAAAAAAAAAAAAAAATGGTAATAAATTAACGGTATTCTAAATGTAACGTGTATATGATGGCTGTACAAATGTAACATTTTTTTCCATTATGTATGATGATATTAATGATAATGAAAAATGGGAAGATTTGATGCAAAAAATGTGGTATAATTGACTTTACAAAAAAGAAAAAAAAAACAACACGTGTGCGTATCGATCGATGCAAGTTCGGCTGTACATGGTCAGTACAAGCATCGATCAATCGATTCACTCCCGAGTGATTTACCAATAAACTACTATTACTTTTAATTATTATAAAATACCATTTCTGTAATAACATTATGATATAAAACCATACATTGAATGGCAAGTCTCACTGGTTTTGGTATCCTGTGCCTGTACTGCGTTTCCTTGTAAATGCACTTTCATCCAAGCGTTTTGGAGTGGATTGTAATGAAAATATCGTACGGTTAAAGATAAAGTTTATTATTACCGTTCATAATTCATTTGTTGGCTAGAAATTGCGAATTTTGCACGAACGAGAATCACGGAGAATGTCATATGACTGTTCCGCGACAGATTAAATGATTTGTTGCACTTGCTTTACATTACTTCGTGAGATAATTGTATCAACGTATATTTTTGAAAGTAACATATGAAAAGTTATATTATTAAAAGATTTAGCATTTTAAATTTAGCGTGCCAATATGGCCGCAGATATCTGTAAGTATTTTTTTCTTTTTTTCTCTTTTTTTTATATCTATTCGCTTTCTTCTTTAGAACGTTCCCTCTCGGAGCGTCTAGATTTCTTCTTACGTCGACTTGGACTTCTAGATCTGGATTTGTGTCTACGAGATCGCGATCTCGATCGATGTCGATGTCTAAAAAAACATGGGAAGTATTGTTAACAATAACATTTTATTATTATGTTTAGATAGATAACAGAATCACCGAGAAATAAAGCGATATATAAATGCAACCATAAATTGATAAATCACAGTGGTAATGAACGAAGTAAGGTAGTAGTCACTGTTCGGATAACAATTTTATGTACCAACAACGCCTTATTTCTTAACTCTGCACTGCTTTATTACCGGTCTTTGTGTCGATATTGAGATCGGGACCTGTCTCGATCTCTCTCTTCGTCTCGCGACATCGAGTCTCTTTCTCGATCTCGTTCTCTAATCATGGAATCCTTTTCTCTCTCACGATCACGATCTCTGTCCTTATCTCTTTCTCGATCCCTTCCCATTGAATCTAGCTCTCTGTCGCGATCTCTTTCTCTTTCCCGATCCCTCTCACGATCTCGAGAATCTCTGGGTGGCATTATTGGAGGTATATTTGTCGGAGGTACCATAGTTGGTATTGTTTTTGGGCCACTATCCTTATCATCTTCTCCCTCTGTCATTGGAATAGCTAAGTTTGTCGGCTGCCACGTCTAAATTTAAAGAAAATAATTGAATTTCGTTCTGGGAACTAAAAAACTAGTCACAGTTGGCAAAGTAAATAAGATCGTATAACATGTACCGGATCATTGCCCCATTGATTATCCTGAGTAGGTTCATAGCTTTGATAATACGGATCTGTTTCTGGCATATAAAAAGGAGCTGGCTCATTCCTGCCCCGGGAGGTGGAACACTCATATCAGGAAAACCTGGTTTCCTAGAGTATTCTCTCCTATCTGCAGTCATTACTTGTATCACATTCCCTTTTGGTGGAGATTTATCAAGATTTCTTCTGGAAGCCAGACCTGAACTACCAATTACATCTATTGTTCCTGCCATTTTCCTTCCAGGAGGTGGTCCTGCCCTCTTTGGTCCCATTATACCAGAATATTTACTATTATCATTAGTAATTGCAACCTGAGGTACCCTCATGCTGCCTGCATTACCACCCCCTCCTCCTGCATTCAATATTAGACCTACTCCAGATTCACTTCTCATTCTTTTTTGTCTTTCACAATAAGCTCTCCATGTTTCCTCATTAAAACCATAATTGAAATAATCAGTAATGTCTGCACCAGGTTGCCTCCAAGGTTTATCTTCTAGCTGATCTAAATTAAACTCATGAGCAGGCATACCATTGATAACACCTATAGTTTCAAATTCATCTATACTGAATTTTCCTGGTTGTTTGTTCAACTTGTCTGGTACACCTGATGCATTTGTAAGCAATCCTCCTCTTTTGATATTGAGGCTGCCATATGCAGGTGTTGATTTAATATCACCTATGACAACGTGCACGTCGTCATCGGAATCCGAATCACTGGCGGCTTCACCATCTTCTTGACTGGAAGCTTCTCTTACTCCGTTCTTATTTACCTCTGTATTGCTGTCATTTTGAGCATTATTAACCGGCGGAGATTCTTCATCTTGTGGTTCTGCTTCTTCAGGTATCTATAGAAAAAGTAATTCGAAAATTGTACTTCAAATCGTTTACATGTCAAATAGGTTATGTTGTACGAGTAATATCCTAAGCTTTAATGTGATAAAATATCGTTATTAATGTATTAAATGTAAACAAACATAATCGGCATTAAAAGAAATTTAAGTACCTAGCATATTATAACTATTTCTTACCATTTACTTTCAATAAAATACAGTAATAATAACCGGATAAACAGGTTAGAAAAAGCGTACTTGTGTTGGTGGGTCAGGAATATTTTCCGTTTTTTGATCTTCCAAGATTTGTGACTTTTCTTGCACTGTAGTAGGAATTGAATCATTTTCTTGGATTTCTGGTTGAACGGGCGTCGGTGCATATTCTTTTCCATCAGTTGAATCTCCATACAACCACTGATCCTCGTTTTCATCCGCCATTTTTCTTCTCCTCTCACTTGACAACCAAAGAACCACGCATACTCTGAATACTCATAATACGATCAAAATATAAGCGCTTTATGCTACAGGTTCGCCAACATTCTGATAGCGTGATAATTAATTCTAACTGTAAACATTTGACGTACGATAGTTTTGTTAAATAATTTTAAGGAGTAAGGTTTTTACATTCTTTCTAACCACCAGTGAACATACAATTCCGATAAATTGTGTATTAATTATCAAATGATCTAAAAGAAATGTTCTTAGAGTGGTATCAATGCGTCGACATTTAATGATTTGACGTGTACAAGACTATATAGCGAATTAGTATAGTTGTTACTACTTTATGTGAGTTTGCGGTCAAAATGTGTGCTGAGAAGAAGGCAGAAAATTCGGTAAATTTAAGTATATAATGAATGAACGTTGAATAAAATATATTTATAATTTTCTAACATCAGTGTATAAAATATATCGCAATACATCTTGATTGTAAATATGTACCATAACACTTCACACGTGGAATAATGTAACAATTGCAAATTATTAACTTTTTATTTTTACTAATGAATTTGTTTGATATAATAATGTGTATTTCTTTAATATTCGATTTATTGTTCATACGTGTTTGAAATATGGTCATGTATATTAATATTGCGGTCAAGCTGTTTATTGTAGTGTGAATGTAATATATTACTTAATTTATTATTTCAAATAACATCAATTTATTATTTCAGGTAGTGAAAATCAATAAATGGGATGGGGCTATGGTAAAAAATGCATTAGATGATGCAGTTAAAGATGTACTTACGAAACAGTACAATTACATAGAGAACTTTGCTTTATTTGATGGAAGATTAGCTATATGTACAGTTGCTGTACTGGTTTCATTTATTGCCCTCACTTTCGATTATTTATTTCCTTTTCCTGCTTCCAAACATGTTATAGCTACTTGTGTTTCAATATATTTCTTTACAATGGGTCTCTTATCCCTATACACAACATACAAGGAAAAGGGCATATTTGTTGTAGCTATTGAAAGGTAAATTTCTTTTTATCTGATATGCATTATTATTTAGCAATTTAAATAATCTTCAAATTATTATGTTCCATGTACATCAGAGATCCAGCAGGTTTTAATCCTGACCTTATTTGGGAAGCAAGTTCATATTTAAAAAAGCATGATGACAAATATAATCTTGTATTGTCTGTTAGAAGTGCAGCCACAGGAAATGTACATGAAACTACCATTACAAAATCTGTTGCAAATTTTATTGATGTCAATGGGGTTGTTATTCCAGAATTAATAGAAAATGTTGTGACAAATATGCACGATAGCTTAACCAGTCAGCGTAAAGAAAAATAGCAGGAAAAATGACATTTGATTAAACGCGATCATTGTCTCCTTCTTTATAATTCACAAAATAAATGTTTTTTTCACATCCCATATATTTCATATTAATGTAGATTTGTTTTGAGGATAAAAGATCAGCAATTTTAAAATGGTATATGTATTGTAATTCATGTTTAAATACAATAAAAAAAGAAAAAACAACAAATATAAACTTTTACATAGCTGTTAATAAAATAAAAATTTTCTTTATCCACTTACATTACTAATGAATTATTTACATAGCTATGTCATGCTCTATTTAACACAATGAAATTAAAAGGATGGTAGCCATTGAATTCTGGTGTACATATCTGTATCTGTAGCAATTGAGAAATAAGAACAAAATTACAGATCTTTAGAGTATATAAATAATATACCATGCAGTATCAATGATAAATAAAAATTATTATTCACGGTTATCTAAATGCTAAATGTACTCACGGTACACTAACACAAAATATGCCATTTTTGCATAAAATGTGATGTAATGTGACGAACGTACATCTTTAGAAAAATTCTTGTAAAAATATTCAACAGACAGAATACAGTCCAGCTAATTTACACCTTATATTAACTTTGTTTTTGAAAAAAAAATAACCGTTTCCAGATAGATGATAATTTATAAATAATTTACATTTTACATTAACCGTGTGTCGTGTCATCTTCCACAAAATCTGCTGCTTCTTCTCGCGTCACGCATACAACATGAGAAACTTTGTTTCTAAATTTAACACCATAAAATTTGTTCGCATGTTGCAATAATTCTGGTCTGCAATACAATTAATTACAATTATATGAAAAATTATATATTATTTTATACAAAAAAGAATATATATATATATAAAATTACCTGAAGGTCGTCGTAATAAATTGGGCATCAGAACTGAGTTCGTGGATCATATCTGCCACTGCTTTCCTGTGTTGAGCGTCCAAAGCTTGGTCAATTTCATCGAACAAGTAAAACGGCGCTGGATCACATTTTTGAATTGCAAATATCAATGCTAATGCTACAAGTGATTTTTGTCCACCAGATAATTGATTCATTTCTCTCATTTCAGCTCTATGGCCAGTGAAAGAAACCCGTATACCTACGGGAAGGAAATATAACAATTTATTTGTTCATATTCCCTTGTATAATAATAACAAAAAAAATCAGTATATTATCTTACCAACACCAATAAATCTATCAGAATCAGCTGCTTCTGTTGTTGTATCGTCTCCTTCGTCTCCATCTGCTGTTTTCATAACTAACTGAGCATGACCCGATGGTACAAGTTTTTTGAACACCTCACTAAAATATTTACTCACCTAGATATAGAAAGAATGAGTGGATGTTTCAATCTTAGCTGTTATTGAGTGAAAAATGAAGCAAGATCATAATAAATAAACGCGGAATAATATTACATTACATACTTGTTTAAATGTAAATTGAATTGCTTCGCATTTACGCTGTTCAAGAACTGACATTAGCTCTTTAATCTTTTCATCACCTCTATCCAATTCTTCTTTTCTTTTTACCAATTTTTCTTTTTGATCGCTAAACGACATAAACTGATCCAATGCTTTCTTATTTACATGGCTAAAATAAAAAGTAGTAATAAAAATTTCCGTTAATATAAAACATTTTTATATCTTCGTATATATACCGAACCTGTATTTTTTTAAATGGTTGTTTGCTTTTTCCATTTCCTTAAACAACTGTTTGGTAGACATAGCACTAAATTTGAAATATACTTCATGACTAGGTAATGCGCCAAGTTCAGTAATTTTTTGTGTACATTCTACTATTTTTTGTTGTAAAATGTTCAATTTACTGGCTAGTTTTTCTAAGTCCTTAGCATCAGCTTCTATCTTTTCCTGTGCTTCTTTCTCCTTGATTTTCCATTTCTCAACTTCCGCAGACTCTGCTTTTTGCTGCAATGGACTTTATGCAAATATAACATGTATTTGATTCAATATAGTTAGCTAATAACTTTTATATTTACCTTCTTAATAGCATTGGTTACTCTTTCATTTTGAGCTTTAAAATCTGCATTTACTTTTACTAGCCTTTTTTCAATATCCGCCAGTTGTGCTTTTGATGATTCTAATTGCCGCTGTCGATCTTCTACTGATATCTCTTGTAATGCTTGAACTAATTCATCTTTTCTTCTGACTAAATTATTGGTTAACAAATTTTCCAATTTGTTTTTCTCAGCTTCTAATCGCATTCGTTTAGCAAACGCCTCTTTGTTATCTTTCGTTAAACGTCTTATGTCATCGTTCAACGTATCGACTTGACGCTGATCGGCAACAGATAACTGTGCCATAAGTTCTTGATGCAATTCACTTTCCAAGCCTTCTTTCGTTGCACGCATTGCTTCTAAGCTTGATGTACACTGTGCTAAACTTCTTTCTTTTGGTGTGCGGTAACGCTCTATGGCGCTTAGTTCTTCCTTCATAAGCCGTATTTCTGCTTTCATTTTATCGTATACATCTCTACAATAAGAAAAAAGGTTAAATCAATTATCTTACAAATTTTATTTACGTTTCGTAAAAATGTAAATAAACATATCGATATCGTAAACAAACAAATAGAAAAATATTCAAATTCCAATAGCTATAATTAATGTAAACATAATAATTAATGATAACATACTTAGCTTTACTGTTTTTTGTTTCTGTTCTTTGCATTTCGCTAACATAAGAACTAATGTTTTGATCTGCTTTTCTGATTTCTTCTTTAAGGGTTGCGAATTGAGATTCAAGGGACGAAATTTGCGACATTAACTCGGATCTGGTTTTTTGTATTTCTAATCGAGATCTTAATGTATTAAAGTATCCGCCTGTCAGGGATCCTTTCGAGGATACTTGATCACCTTCAAGAGTTACACAATCTAAACCTGACGTGCGAGCCAAATTGGTCGCAGCTTCTAAATTACGACAGATCAGTGTCTTTCCAAATATGTATCTACATTAATAATTAAATATATAAATGATTTTACATTTTGTTATCTCCTGAAGTTAAACATGACAACACTAAAAACATTAATGTTTACCTCAAGGCTTTATCATACTTTTGATCATAATTTAACTGTGATATCATAGGTATAGCATCACTGGTTTCTGGATAGTCTATGTCTTTTACATGAAGTCGATTTAAAGGCATAAATGTTACTTCTCCTGGAAGACGTTGATTATTCATTTCTTTCAAAATTTTCGTGCCGAATTTGTCAGTTTCCACAATATGATGAAACAATCGATTGCCAGCAGTTACCTCTACAGCCATATAAACACTCTTGTCGCAACTAAAATTCTCAATTACAGGCCCATAATAACTACTCACCTCATGGGCCATGTCTTTACGTGTTCTGGAAAATAATTATACATTAATAACTACAACATTTTTCAACTAATTAAGCTAACTTTACCGAAATGTATCCAACACTTTTCGTACGCTGTCGCGACCATTTAGGATAGGTTTTCCCGCCATAGATCGTAAACTTTGATCTGCTTTGGCCAAATCTTCTTTTAATCCAGATAGATTGAGTTGCAATACACTCTCTTGTCGATACCTGTAGTATAAATTTAACTTATATTCTATTAAAACTTTTGAGCTTCAAGAAAGACTATGTAATAAACAAACTGTTCTTTTCTAGTAGCTTGACACTGATCCTTTGCTTTGGTAAGCTCGTAATACTGTTTATTGTGCTCGTCTATTGAAGTACGTTGCTGTTCCATTTCTCGTGTATGTTCCTCGATCTTCTTTTCTAAAGTAACTTGTTTTTCAGCATCTCGTTTTAAATCTTCACTAATTTTTCTTTGATGTTCCTCCTTATCTTTAATTTGTTTGGTAAGTTGTTTAAGCTCATTTTGTATCCATTTATCTCTCTCATCCTAATATAATAAGATTAGTAATATTTTCTTTCCTTCCATATGTCATTTTGTAATTAATAAAGTTATATTAAATACCCTGCTAGTAAATTGACTGCCACGTCCCTGCTTTGCATATAATTCTTTTCGTTTTTGTTCTTTTAACTGTAATTCACGCGTACATTCCTCTTCAACGCGCTTCATTTCTTCATACTAAAATAAAATTGTTATTAACGAAAAAAATTAAATTTTCATCAAATATTTTAATAACCATGCATCTTACTTCTGGCTTTAATTCTTCCAATTCTGCTTCTCTTGCCGCAATATTTACTTTTAATTTTTCTAATTCCTGTTGAGCACGTTTTCGACTATCATTATCTCCTTTCACTTCTTCCAATAAATCGTTAATAGTTAATGTTAACTTAGTTTTCTCTTTTAATAATTGTTGTTGCTCAGCACTGAAAATTTTATTCTTAATTCACTGTTAATGTATGCCATTGTTATTAACTATTTACATGTGAACTTCTAATATTACCTTAAGGTATCTCGTTCTTCTTTTGCAGTTTGCACTTCTTTTTTTGCTTCTTTAAGACGTTTGGTCGCAGCTCTCACCATTTCCTGAGCAGTTTTTGCTTCCGCGCATAATCTTGCTTGTTCGGCCCCACTATTAGCCCTAGATTTTTCCAAGTCTTCCAACTTTCGTTTATTTTCTTTGAGTTCTCGTTCATGAATTGTATATTCTAAACATCTACGTTGTTTATCCCAACACTGATATTCTTTAAGTTCTTCTTTTTCTTCTTCTAATGTTTTTAAACGTTCCTCTGTAACATAATATAATTATAAATTACTATTTCTCCAAGAGCTACTGTAATCTTAAATAATGGTTTACCTATAGTTCTTAAAAAATCTTGAATTTTTTCTAGTTTCCCTTCAGTTTCTTTTAAAATAAATTTTGATTCTTCTCTCCTGTCATCGTACACCCTAGTACCAGCTACTTCTCTTAATAATTTAAGTCTTTGAGAATCAGGTGCTGTTGCCATTTGATTGATCTACACAATAGTGCATTATATTCTCTTCTTCACTATTATATATCACTAATGTATCATAAAACATACCTTTCCCTGTTTTACAATATAGTATGGATTTGATCTTGAAAACCCTGCTGATTCTAATAAATTCATCACATCATTCCTCGTTACTATTCTTTTATTAAGAAAATACTGGTCCTTTTTCGAACCAATAACTCTCCTTAAATATACTTCTTCTTTATCAATCTGTAAGACAAAATGATGAAGTATAATAAATAAATAACAAATAAATAAACATGTATAAAGATGATGTAATAATAAATTTTATATACAGGTAGTCTGCCATCAGAATTATCAAATATAATTTCCACATGGGCAGAGATGACTCTTGGTCCTGTACCCTCATGTAATAAAGCTTGTCTTTGTTCAGGTCTAAGATGAGAAAATTCATCACTTAAAACAAATTGGATCGCATAAAAGAAATTACTCTTCCCAGAACCATTTCTTCCAACTTGAAATAAAAAACCACTCACATAAATTTGATTAATAAATCGTATTGAAATACTTATTTTTAATAAATAAACATACATACCTACTACATTGTGCCTTGGATCAAAGGGTTCTACAACTGTTTGTTCACGGTATGACTTAAAACCTTGTATGATTACCTGATCACAAAAAGATTTATTATTTAAATATAGTTATTTCCGTATAAAATTTTCTTTTCTTGAACTGATTATTCAATTAAAATCGCAATAAAAATTGTCCTATGTCTAAGTAGTTGTCATTGCATATTTTTCATCATTTAGATAAATTCAGATTTGGTGGTAGCATTTTGAGCAGGTGTGTATTTAATTGTATAATCGTGTAAAATTCTGTCAGATATTTATATCAGATATAAAATACTAAAGGCATCGCGCGCAAGAGCAATCTTCACGCGTGTTAACATTAAACGATAGTAGCCATACTTCTTCTGAATGATGAGCGTCTATCAAAAGTTGTAGGAACCGCGTAAAAAGACATAGAAATCTAAAATTTAAACTAAATTTTTTTTATGATACCTGTTTGATGTACATGGTGTGATTGAAATTCACACGAGTGTTTCTCGTGTTAACACCTTAAAACAACTCAATCACAAGCTTAATTTCTCTGTCACTGAATGTAACAAAAACGTTCAATCGACTTGTTGGCAGAGCGACATTTGTAAAATAATCCCCAAGCCGACGATATAATAAAGTTCCTAGATTTGGGCGGGAGATACGTTTCCGTGACCACTACATAAATAAAAAGGTACTATGTAATATTTTTTCTTAATTAAGGATATTTTTTCTCAAAACTATGACGTTATTTTTTGAGCATAATGCTCAAATGTTTAATTTTATTTTTTTATCGTGGAAATAAATAAGTTAGAAATAATATTACAACACAAATAAAGTTAATAACAATTTTAATATTTACAAGAATACAAAGATAGACTTAACATTATGTATCATTATATATCATTCAATGATGAATGCTTAATGCATCACTTTGAACCTCATGACTTAATTGTGTTTGCAAATTAGATAGTTTATTTTTTAATGCTGCAATGCCCATCATTACAATATTTTCAGGTTTTAAAGCTCCACTGCTCTCCACATTGAAGTAGTATTTATTTGGCTTAGCCTCCCAATTAAATGGTGCTTCATCTAGAATATTTTACAATTTAATTCAGTACATAATCAATATTCACAATACAGGAACACTTACATTGGTCTTCTTCTAGTTCACTATATTCTGATTTTGGCCATTCATCAGGTTTTGGAAATAACGTATGCCTCATAGAATTGTCTGGATCATATTCAAAACTTACACCAGCGGTAGGATTCCATTTTGCATGTTCTTTTCCAAAACCTTTTTTTGCATATGCTCTTAATTTCAATTCTTGTCCTTTCCTTAATTTCACTATTAAGATTTCTGAATAAAAATGTATTAATTAACATTATTAGCTATATTATAATAATAATGAATGTATTATTTAAAAAGAATATAAACCATCGGTTTCTCCATATTCGCTAGCATCATCTTCTCTATGTCTGGATGTAACAGGAAGTACTCTTGGATCACTGGATTTAAAATCTGCAGTGGTTACATGTCGCGTTTGATCTTCTGTACATTTTACATCAAGTGTGAATTCTACACTACACTCTGGACAAAAATCCATACACTGGCAGTCTCTTGTATATTGTATCCTATCAACAACCTAAACAATATTGAAACAATTTCTTCATTTTTGTTAAAAAATATCTTTAAAATAGATTAAATGTTTAATTTTTAATTATTTACATCGTCACTTATTAATGGTATCATTCCAATCCTGTGAGCTAAAAATTCATCACTTAAGACAGTTGAATTAGCTTCCAATTGTATCCAATCAATAGCCATGGTAGGTGTCTCGGCAATAAATACACGTCTCATACTATTTGCTACGCTATAAACATTACAAAATTTAATAAAATATTTACAGCATTTGTCACATAACCTATTTTACCTCAATTCTGTATCCTCTACTTGAAATTTTACATTTTCTTCCGTTAAATCTGAAATATGAACTGATGGTTGATTAGCGTATGGCATTTTCTCAGATTTCTTATATTAACAGCTGTGTAAAAGCGTGTTTTATAGTTAAAATATTCTTCTTACAACTCTTACACGATCATCCAACAACGAAATATTTACTATTAGTACTCGCAAGTTTGGGAATACAGCGCCATTATGAAAGGTAGTTTGAATATATCTCCCACTCTTTTTAAGAAACTTCAGAGTATAACTAATGCAATTTTTTCATTGCAATACAAAGAAATAGATTTATATAAGTTTTATTAAGTTTTTATTAAAAAAAATTTATTACATATAGTTTACATAATACGAAAAATAGACAAAACTGCATCAGTAAGTATGTCTGAAGACTAAATAACATAATCATCTTACATTTCTTTAGTTACTAGTAAAACTGATTCAGGAAGAAAGCTAAATGTATAGAATAATTTGTCTAGTGTCTGTATATGATAATATATATGTATATGTATGTATAAATATTGAACAATAATCAGTAAAATCTAACATTTTAAATTACTATTTTTCTAAAATGTTGTATTTAACTTGTTTTCATAATTCCATAAAGAATAATATCAATGCATGCATATAAGCTGTTATTTATATAATAAATAATAAAAACGAAAATTCTGGTAACTTTTATGATGCCACTGTTTCTTATGGCACTAAAAACTTTTGTAAAAATTGGAAGACTGTGGTTTGTGAGATACTATTTGTCAAGTACCCTAAACAAATTTGTGCAATTGTAAATGTACCAGTTTTAATATAAATGTATTCTAAATGCGGCATAAATAGGAATACCAAAACATAAGGGCTGAAAGCATGACATTAAGAAGTATTAAAAATATCTTTAGCCATGTAAGTTTTTCTGTTGCTATTATGAAAAGATGTAAAAATTTTGCTAATGAATTTAGCAATCAATTTTCAAAGTTCGTCTATAAAACGTTCGATATCTTGTAAATGATCTCCATAATCTGTAGCTTCACTACCTACAAAGGCATCAAAATGATCTAAAATTTCGTCAAATGATAATCTATTATCGTGATCGTCGTCAGATGCGGCGAACAAATGAGTAACTTCGTCACTTGCAATTTCTCTGAAATATTTAATAATAATAAATATAAAATATATTTTAAAATGATCAATCAAAAAAAAAAAAAAAATAATTTACTTACTCATTACTTGGTACTAGCCAAGAAAGTATTTCATTCGAGTCTAGTCTTCCATCTTTATTTTTATCATGTTCAAAATCAAATTTATCTTTTTCTATTAGTAACCAGCTTTTATCTTCTGCTTTAGCTCTATTTCCAATAAATTCTTGAAAGCTAATATATCCATCTTTGTCTGTATCTTTATCATCTAGAGCTTGCTTCAATAGAAGTGGAAACATTCTTGGTGTTTCCTCTGGATGTGTATAAGCTTTAAATTCTTCTGGCTCTAGATAACCATCGTTGTTTATATCAGCAGCCTCAAATGTCTCCTTGTCATCAGTGATAAGCTTCTCATTCACTGCTAAATTTTCTGGATCTGTGCCATAAGTATCTTGAATAATTTCATTCCAACTGACTTTACCATCTTCATCTGCATCAGCATCCTCTAACCGATCTTGAGATTCCTCAGTAGAAAGCATGCTGTTTTTAAAATAAGATTATTTTCATTTTAAATAAAACAATTTCTTTATTATTCATACCTAAAGGAACGCAAAATCCAAGCCTTGAGCTCATTTTTTTCAATGAATCTATCATTGTTCAAATCCATTTTTCTCAATAAAATTTCTAAACGACGTTTTGATTCTTTTATTGGAAGTTTATCAAATTCTTCTGCTTCCTTTACGCTTCCTATGAAAAGTATAAAATACAGTTTATTGCTAGGCTCTTAATCTTAGTATGATAAATTATGAATGCAAGAAATTGAAAATTAAGAATACCCAGAATAGCTTCATGATCAAATTCTTCATGATGTTCTCCTCCTGCATAGTGGTCCATGCCTCGTGGGCTAAATGCCCCATCCTCTGTTCTTTCATTACTACTGGGTTTATTATGCTGATGAGAGTGTATATGTGCGGATGCTGCATTTCCGTGTGAAAATAATCCGAAAATTGTGACGATAAAAAGAAGAATTTCTACACGCATTTGGCGTGTACCCATTGTAAGTTTCAGACAAATTCTGGGGATTCGAATAAAAAGAAATAACCTCACAATGTGAAAAATTTGACATACACAATGCTATCTATACCGAATACCATAACAACTTTTATCGACTGTTTGTTGCGACGCATGTCGTATACTCGTTCTCGAAAATCGATCTTGATAGGATTCAAATTCGACAGCTTAAGATATATTTTTCAATCGATACGAAATATGATGTATTTAAATACAAAATGACTGTATCAACTATATAAAATTATATTTATAATTAATGTTAATTTATCTTTGTATAAATTCTTGTAAAGATAACAAGATTCACAAAGATTTTTCGATGAGATCTATAACCGGTGATAGAAAAATAATGAAGAAATATCTCTGTGAGTATTAATAAATTGTTAATACAGAGTAGTTAATAGTTTTTATTTTTGTGTCGGTACTATATATTAAATAACTTTACTTACCTATTTAGAAATCTTTTAAAAGCGGCTAATCATTGTAAGATTCTTAATATACACGTTTTTAATAGTATGAAACTTCCCTTTCGTTCCGAACGTCAGTATTATATGCGTGTGTTGGAATATCAGTGCTTGGTCGTCTCGTCGTGAAAAGAGACGAAGAAAAAAAGCGTCAGGTCTGCCTTAGCCACGTTCAGTATGTGTAGTCATGATTTTGTTCTAGGGTGCGCGTTCAAAAATAGACTAAGCGTACTAACACGCGTTCAATTTATTTCTAACCTTACTGATCATCAAGCAAACGGTATAGAAGGAAGAGCAATGGATATTATGAGAATAAAATGTCACAGGAATATTAAAGGAGAAATCTTTGAAAAATGATATCAATTTCCACGTTCCATTAAGTGATAATGCAAAACATTGAAGAAAATATCAAACAAAATAAATTAAAAAATAAATTGCAAAATGAATTTCAAAATGAATTTCAAAATGAATTAGAAAACTGTACCCAATTCTAATCTATCCTAAAATAAGCTAAAATTCGCATTTTTAACAAATTTTAACAAATTTTACGAATTTATTTTCTTAATATACCACAATGTAATAACTTAATTGTATAAGAATTGTATACAGTGTTGTTCAAAATGGAAACATAAACATTTCATTGTAAGAAACATAAATTAAGCATAAAAATAAAATAAATTCTATTTTCTTACTTATCCTATTAATAACTATAACACAGACCACAGTTACTCCATCACAACGATATATCTTTCTTCAGTGTCCTTGCAACAAATTCATTTTTTTATCATTTTTGACATAACGATACATAAGGAAAAACCTGAGGATATTCTGTCGTTCCAAAAATAAACTCAATATGCGTGTAATGGAATCCGTTGATACGGCCCTAATTCCCTCAATAAGATAGACAAAGATAGAAAAGAGACAACTTTGGTCAGCGCCATCTATGATTTTGGATCAGAAGTTCAGAAAAGTAATAGGAATACAGAATGTGCAAGGAGGTCGTCTAAACTTGGTCACGTGATAAACAAGGACAGAAAGCGATTAGAAAAGGATAGAATGGATTCGGCAGGGAAAAATCGCAAATTGCCAAGTTTCTGTAATTAATCTACAAACTTTTATAGTTGCATCGTAAAGCTGGAACTATGGGCAACATTCCTATGTAATTTTCGTACATCATTTGATGCGAATTAGTTAGTTATTAATAATTATTTGAAGACGTACATGATTTGATATCAACGATCGGCATGGTTGTTCGATAAAATAATTATTTATGGACAATGCGAGAAGTAAAATATGATCAAAAATGATATGAGAAGATGCACAAGAACATTGTTTTTATAATGCGTAAGTTTTTAATAAATTATGTAGTCACTTTTTATAAAACAAAATTTATTTTTATTGTAAAAGCGGGATACTTTATTTAAATGCATTTCAGTTGTCACTAAAATTATTTTCTCTGTCGGTAACGTTACGAACGTCACAGAAATGGTAAGTGGAGATTAGTGTTTCTAGAAATCGGGCTTAAAAATGTATATAATGTTAAGTCTATCCTATATCTCATGTGCAGTGATATGCGTTTCAGAGGAAAACGATTACCATATATCGGTAACTTTCAGGAGAAATTTAATTTCCCTCTAATAAATTTATTTTCTTTCACTTTTTTTCTATACTATTCGAGATAAGACGATAGTTTTTGCAATAGTGATAAAAAAAACTAAATGATTTTCTAATTAAAAAATAGGAAAATAATATAATCATTGCGAATATCGGGCTTAAATCTTATGTAATGGTTCTATATCTGAATCGTGTGCGATGAAATTATGCCGCAATTATTATCATAATGTTGCAATTCCATACGATTGCACAATTCTTCTTGATCTATTGGTAGATACGATCGTCGATAAATTACCTCTTCAGCACACCCCTACGTTCCCGAGGTTTTGGACGATAAAATAGATGACTCGTATCCCTGGTTAGTAACACAGATATTCATTACTAAAGGACAATTTTGCGTTGCATGCTGTCGTCACCAATACACTCTTCAAATGGGGGGTGTTAACGATTAATTTCGCGTTGGCGAAAATTTATTCTGTTCTCGTTATGCTTTCCGACGTGTGTTCTTCCTTTTATGATGCTAATTGTCAGAACGTTATTGTTCGCGGTTCGTAAAATACAATCGAGCGATAAAATTTGTTAAACATCGCCGGTCAGCGAAATATTTCAATTTTCTCTATGGTGCCGTGTAACACGGATGCTGTAAAATATCATCGGGTTTTCGCGATTTTCCGCCGCAACCGTATTTTTCCAATTTTCCAACCGTCGGCTTTTTTTTATCCTGCCAATTTTCGAGCACCGTTGTTCTTGCAATTATGCAACTGGAGAGCGTGCAAAATCGTAGAAAGTGGATCTTCTTTCCTATTCTTCCACCCCGTCTGCAACGAAATGACATGGAAATTGTAGAAAGGGCGATCGGTCAGAAGTGATTGGTGAAACGGAAATGTGACTGTTTTCCATCGATGACCGTGCCACGAACTGTACTGATTTCCAGATCAAAGCGAAGGGTCAATTTCATCCCTTAGAGATTTGCAAATGGCCGTCAACCCTCGAATCACGTTGGCAAAATATTCTAAATCTAACTACGTTAACCGTATTAATCTTTATAGTCTCCCAGTTCGTTTCTCGTTACGTATACAAAATTTCGCAACTCTTTTAAGATGATCGGAGAGAGAGTTTCTTTCCTTGCAAAAGAATTCAAACGTTCTTGAGCATCTCTTTCCCACGTCTGGCGAACGATGTAATACCCAGAGGAGGAGCCGTTGAATTCGATATTCGATCGACTCTAACGAATCCGTCGTCTACGAGTTTCTCAAGATATTTTCGATTCCGCCGGAATATTCCGGCGCGGAGAACGCAGACGCTTGTGATTTTTCCCAATGGCTGAACGGGGGGTCGAACAGCCACTGAAAGCATTCCTTCTGACATTCAAATGCTCGGTGCACGAACGAAAAAGGATACGTAGAGCCCGACGCCTATTCATCGCTCAAAGGGATCATTTATCAACATATTTGATATGCTTCTGGCCGCGTTACCCCGTCGGAGGAACCTCCCTCTCTCTCTTGCTCTCCTCTGGTCGGGCTTCCATAGAAATAATATGCTAATCGCGCGAAGGCGGAGTTTAAAAAGTGCTCCGATAAATTCTCCGGACTTTTTGACGTAATTTCGCCCCTTCGCGCTACTCCCACGAAAGATTCTTTTTACGCGGTTTCCGACGTCTTAAGAGAACTTCGCTTCTCCAGCACGGTATATCAGTCGGCGGGATATATTTTTTTCCTGGATTCCAACCGGATGTCACGACCTGCTTCGCGGAGAAAGGATTCTAAGCTGACTTCCTCCGCACCCTCCGCGGAAACCGCAAAAAGACGTTTCGCTCGTATTTTACTGGCGTGTAATTTCGTGGTTCTTGTTTTGAGAATACAGTTTCAGTTAGTCGACAACGTTTAAACGTTTTCGGACGATGGAATTTTTCCAGAGGGATTACGGGCCTCGAGACGGCGTAAGTGATTGACACGAGACGTTAAGATCATTTACAAATCCCCTCATCGGCACTTATGCGCGCGGTGACGCATACGCACATATTTATGCACCCCTATACGCGGCGTGTCCTCATACATACATCGGTCATATTAGCCGCAAAGCGGAATATCCTGAGTAGTCCCGTTTGTTTAAGCTTACCACGGTGTCGAATGATTACGCATTTCATGCAACCTCGCGTTAAACCTCATCCTCGCATCGGATTGACAAAAAGAAAAAGAAAAGAAGAAAATAAAGAAATTGAAAGGGAGGGAAAAGAAATAAATTTACTAGTATTCATGCTACGAATCGTTCAGCATAGGACGTCATTATACAGAAGCTCGCTGAGGCAGCATCTGATAAGGACACCCCAATTAAACGGTATCGTTGATAAAGCGTCGGCGTATCTTTTATCCCTCTTTTGCAATCGAGTTTTTCAATCGTCCTTTTATTTTATTCCGAGCTACGTAGCGTCAACGCGATGACATCGAATTAATCCCCTGGTCATTCAATTCCGAAACGCCACGTCAGCAGGACACTTTCAAGCATATTGAGGTTGGATCGTGTAGCCGGCCGCCATTTACTTTGAGCCCTCTTTTCCATATTTATCTTGCTCCCTTTCCTCCTCTTTCCCCCCTCCTTTCCACCCCTTTTTCTCCTTCTTTCTTTTCTTTTTATCATTCGGTATCTTCGGGATTATCGGCCTATTCGGCAACGAAAGGCCGCCTCTGCTATTTGGAACGAAGACACAGATTGCTTTGCGTTCCGGAGGATTTACGAGCGGCGATGATAAACACTCGGGAATCTTAATCGAATGGCTTTTATAATAATTTCCATGGGAACCGATCGAAAGAATCTTGCCGATTTTGCGAGTTTGATTAGAAAAACAAAGCAAACGCTGGAAGTTTATTTCTCCTACGACATATCGATCATCTTCAGAGACACGAGATAGTTCCAGGAGAGTAGGATTCTTTATTCCGTTTCAGCTAGGGAGAACGGGCCGGAAAGGTTGGAACTGCTGGCGGTGTACGACGAAATATTTCGAGGCGTTTCGCAGGATCGTAAGGGTGTTCGACGTTTCCGTGGCGCGGCCGTCTCAGCCGGGGCCATACGCCCCGCGATTTAAGTCGTCAACTTTTATGGGGGTAGTTTTCGCGGAGACGGTCCGCGGCAAGCCACATAAAAGGGGGTGGAAGTTTCTGGTAATATGGCGGCTTCTCGCGGAATATGGCGGCAACTGTATACAAGAGATAGCGACAATATTGAAGCGGGTGGGAGTCTCGAAGAAAACCAACTGGATTTTGGCTCTAGCTCGTGCCGATCTTGGGTCATTGGCCTTCTTTTCTTTCTCCATTTTCGCTCGTTCTATTTCATTTCAAGACCGAGCGAATCGAACCTACTCTCGAGCTCTCGAGTAATTCTTCTGTAATTAGAAGAAAATGTGTCGTGCCACGTAAATTACAATCTACGATGCAGTTATCCGCAGACTTTCTTCATAGGCAAGTTGTAAACTGTCCGTGTTGGGTTTTCCGCTTTCAGAGGTGATCGAGATTTCCTTAGCGTGGCTCAGCGGCTGTCGATGGCGCGGATTAAGAGAAAGACTGCACTCTCAATGGCGTCGTTCGAAGGCCGCTGATTGCATCTGGCATTTGTGTCACGCCCTTGAGTACCCAGTCGATATGCCTGGACAAATTGGGAATTGG